AACCCAAAAAACAAAAAAACCCTACAGAAACATTGGCCAAGGGAGGGCTCCAGTTGCCTTAGGAGGGAACTGTAGGGGAGGGAGAACTTTATCTCTGCCCTCTGAAGTCCCATTACTGAGTTTGTAGGCTGATTAGCAGGAGGAAATGAACACAAATTCATTAAGTGCCCAAGGGATGACCCAGGACAGTCGGCCTGGCTGGGTGTGCCGCAGACCTCCAACCACCTCTTCAGTCATACAAATTTATTCTTCCCTGGTTGATGGATTCCCAGGGAGAGGATTTGTGACAACTGAGTTCCTGTGAGGATTTACATTTTCAGGCAGACCAGGAAGATTCAGAGAAAGGCCTTCGGGCAATTGCTATTCCCCTAGGGCCTTGGGTTTTAAGTAACCAACTTAGGAAAGTGGCATGTTTGGGGATGGCCTGACTCAAACTGCTCCATTATTAACCATCTGCTATAAATAGTAAGTTTCACTGTGCCTTTTACCTGAGAATCTCCAGGGCTTAAGTGAGTGAGAATTCTTTTAGTGTAGTTAGCTGAGAAAGGAGCTGAAAAGCAGACTCCTGGGACTTAACATTCGCACATTACAGCATTTTAAATTCACAAAAGCCATGACAAAAGGGCTTTTTATCTCGGAGGAAATGGTGCGGTGGGTTAGCACTTGGACAGCCAGGTAGCAGACCACATTTGGTTTAGCATTGCAGAGGAGGACCGCAGGGATCCCATCCAGGGTGCTAAACAGGAAACCGAATTCTGGGTTTTTTTTTTTGGCAGTTTTTGGCCGGGACTGGGTTTGAACCCGCCACCTCTGGCATATGGGGCCAGCGCCCTAGAGCTACAGGTTCCGCCCAGGAAACCAAATTCTGTAAAATAATTTAAAGAGGTTTATTCTGAGCCAATCTGAGTGACTTCGGTCTCGGAAAATGCAGATCCCAGAAGCCTTAAGTAAATGGTTTTGAGGTGGGCAGACTACAGTTAGGTTTTACACATTTCTTTTTTTTTTTTTTTTGACAGACCTCAAGCTGTCCCCCTGGGCAGAGTGCCGTGGCATTACAGCTCACAGCAACCTCCAACTCCTGGGTTCAAGCGAGTCTCCTGCCTCTGCCTCCCAAGTAGCTGGGACCACAGGCGCCCGCCACAACGCCCGGCTATTTTTTGGTTGCAGCCATCGTTGTTTGGCAGGTCCGGGCTGGGGATTCGAACCCGCCACCTTAGGTGTACGTGGCTGGCGCCTTAGCCGGTTGAGCTATAGGCACCGAGCCGGTTTTACACATTTCAAGGAAACAGGAACTGTAGGTAAAAATCATAAAGCATTACATAGAAGGCAACATCGATTTGGTTGGAAAATGTGGCCATCTAGACACTAGGCTTACTGTCAAATTTGGGTAGAGTGCCATGGCATCATCATTGCTCACAGCAACCTCTAACTCTTGGGCTTGAATGAACCTCTACCTCATTTTTTTCTTCTTTTTTTTTTTTGAGACTTACGTTGTTGCCCTTGGTAGAGTGCCTTGGCGTCATAGCTCACAGCAACCTCTAACTCTTGGGCTCAAGCAATTCTTTTGCTTTAGCCTCCCAAATAGCTGGGACTACAAGCATCCGCCACAATGCCTGGCTATTTTTGGAGACAAGATCTTGCTCTTGCTTAGGCTGATCTTGAACCTGTGAGCTAGGCAATCCACCCATCTCGGCCTCCCAGGTTGCTAGGATTACAGGCGTGAGCCACTGTGCCTGGCCAAAACTTCATTTCTTTAACCAATTAGAAATCAAGGAATAAAAAAAAAAAAAAATCAAGGAATTTTTAAACCTACCTAAAACCTGTAATCCCTGTTTGTAGGTGTCTTGCCTTTTCAGGTGAAATCAATGGAAGCCTTCCATGTACTGATTTCTGATTTTACACGTAATTCCTGTCTCCTTAAAACATATAAAACCCACTGTAACCTAACCCAGGGGAGACCCGTGGTCCAAGGCTTCCTAGGTGTAGCTCCATGCCATGCTCACACATATTAATATTTGGCTAAGAATAAACCTTTTAAATTATTTTACAGAGCTCAGGTTCCTTTTTTTGTTGTTGTTGTTTTAGAGACAGAGTCTCACTTTGTTGCCCTCGGTAGAGTGCTGTAGAGTCACAGCTCACAGCAATCTCCAGCTCCTGGGCTTAAGTGATTCTCCTGCCTCAGCCTACCAAATAGCTGGTACTACAGGCGTCCACCACAACGGCCAGCTATTTTTTGTTGCACTTTGGCTGGGGCCAGGTTTGAACCTGCCACCCTCGGTGTATGGGGCCGGCACTCTACTCACTGAGCCATAGGTGCCGCCCTCCTTTTTTATGTTGTGGTTGCCTTCAGTAGTGTGCTCTGGCATCATAGCTCACAGCAACTTCAAACTTTCGGCCTCATGGCATCCTCTTGTCTCTGCCTCCGGAACAGCTGGGACTACAGGCACTCACGGAAACACCCAGGTATTTTTAGAGACTGGGGTGGGGGAGGTGGAAGGATCTCACTCTTTCTTAGGCTGGTTTTGAACTCCTGAGGTGAGGCAATCCACCTGCCTTGGCCTCCCAGTGTGCTAGGATTACAGGTGTGAGCCACCACGCCCAGCCTTGGATTCTTTTCAGTTGTCACAACTCAAAAGGATCTGTTTAGTGAACTGATAGCCGACAGGCATGACTCGACCTTTGCTCCATGGCCTCAGGTCCTTTTCATAATTTAGTATCTTACTGTCTCAGAGGCTGGCTGTTCAGTCTCTGGATCTCTATTTTAACATTAACGCTAGTCACAAAGGGAGGTGCCAGGAAGAGAACTGTCAAGAACTCCCTGTCCATCATGACCAGTGTTAATGAAAAAACCCCCAACGTCTATAAAATAGTTCCATACTGAGCTGAAGGTGTGTGACCAGTCCAAAGGCATGGCCTAACAGGTCCTGAGAAAATGTGCCTGAGGCATCTGAGTTACAGGTTAGTGTCCTACATTCATGGGGATAAGAATTAATAATCAGGCCACTGAGTACGGTGCCGGCCACATACACTGAGGCTGGTGGGTTCAAGCCCGGCCCAGGTGTGCTAAACAGCTGCAACGAAAAAATAGCTGGGCATTATGGCAGGTGCTTGTAGTTCCAGCTACTCAAGAGGCTGAGGCAAGAGAATTGCTTAAGCCCAAGAGTATGAGGTTGTTGTGAGCTGTGACACCATGGCACTCTACCAAGGGCTACGCAGTTAGACTCTGCCTCCCCCCCCAAAATTAATCATAAGCCGGTGGCACAGTGGCTCATGCCTGTTAATCCTAGCACACTGGGAGACGTCTGAGCTCAAGACTTTGATACCAGCCTGAGCAAGAGCCAGACCTCATCTCTACTAAAACAGAAAAACTAGCCAGGTGTCCTGGTGGCCACTTGAGTTCTGAGCTACTGAAGAGGCTGATGTAAGTGGCTCCAGTGAGACCAAGAGTTTGAGGTTGCTGTCAGTGAGGCTGATGCCACTACACTCTAGCCTGGGCAATAGGCTGAGACTGTCTAAAAAACAAACAAACAAACAAATCATAAACTGGGCTTGGTGACTCTTGCCGGTAATCCCAGCACTCTGGGAGGCCAAGGCGGGTGGATTGCTTCAGCTCACTGGTTGGACGCTAGTCTGAGCAAGACAGAAATCCCATCTCTAAAGATAGCCAGGTGTTGTGGCAAGTGCCTGTAATCCCAGCTACCCGGGAGTCTGAGGCAAGAGAATCCCCTAAGCCCAGGAGTTGGAGGTTGCTGTGAGCTGTGACTCAAGGTACTCAACCCCAGGACGACTGAGACTCCTCTCAAAAAAAAAAAATCATAAATTAATATTTGCAAGGCTTACAATGGTTTGGCTCAACAAGGAGAGGTGCGGGGGCTTACAGGTTACAGGTGGGTTTAAGGCTTCTTTGATATGTAATTGGTTAAAGAATGACTTTTTGTTTAAAGGTCTGGAATGTTTTACATAAGAAAATCTGCTAATCTGAGAGGAGCCAGTGACATTTACTGAGCCTGGAGGAATCTGATAAGTACCGGAAAATTGATGGCCTGCAGGTGTGGTCTAAACTTTGTCTTGTGGGCCTTAGTGTTACTCTTACAAAGAGCAAGTCCAAAAGGGAGGGGAGAGGGAGCGGGACTGACTGCCTTTCTCCCCTTGGTCAGCAACTGACCTTTAAGGTTTTTCTTGCCCCCCCCCCCTTGGGTAAGAAGGGCAGTAAGCTGGGAGACTCAAGATTTTTAGCTCACACCAGAACTCTTATTGTAGGATGTTTGAGGGGTCCCGTTGGCCAAGAGGAGGGGGTCGTTCAATCAGATGGGAATTTAGAATTTCACTGTTAGTTTACAATTGCTTGTCTGCCTCTCAAACCTTTAATCAGTTAGACTTTTCTTTCGCTAGTTGAAATTAACATTTTTGATTCCACAGGACGTGAGTCACAATTTCCTATGTAATCACTATCTTCAAATTTTTGCGTTGGTTTTCATATGTCTTGGCATCAGAATCTGACAATGCAGGAGGCAGAGAGGTGGCCGGACGCACCCACGTGCGAGTTAAGCTAAAGCGCTCCCATCTAATTCTCATTCGCCTCCACAGCTGATCACCTGAGACCTGTCTGGGAGTCCACCGTTCGTCCGGGACTTGGCAGGGACGTCCAGCCCCTCCCCACGCTCCAGCAGCTGCGGACCCTCCCACGAGGGTCCAGCTCAATCGCCCCTCCCACGAGGGCTTCGCGTCCCCGCGGGCAGTACAGCCCGCACCTGGGCCCCGAGGGGGAGGTGACCGCGGCTGCTCCCACAGACTGCAGGAATCCCTTCCCGGCTACCTCTCATGCCTGCCAGGATCCAGCGGAAAACACCCGTCACCCTGGCCCGAGACCCCGCGGCCTCCTGGGCCAGCCTCTCCGCCTAGACCCGAGAATCTTCGCGAAGGCGGGGGCGGGGAGATGCTCAGCCGGGGATGGCGCGGGCAGAGACATCCGCGCATGCGCGGCGTCAGGACAGGGCGGAAGTCGACGTCGCGGCACCGCAGCCGCGTGACGTACTTCCTGTTTGTTGTTGGAGAAAGGAGAGAAAGGAAAGCGCGAGGACCATCCGCCACCACCAGCGCAGCCGTGCCGGAGCCGCGAGGAGCCCCGGGCCGCCGCCCCCTCCCTCCTTCCCGCCGTCGGTCGTCCGCGTCCTCGGTAAGGTGCCCCCAGCGTGTGGGGAAGGCCGGGGAGGGCCGCCCGTGCGGCCCGGCGGGCGGCGGACCCGATCTGGACTCTCGGCCGCGGCGGTGGGGTGACCTGGGTCTCCGGGCGGGCCGGGAGGGGGCCGGGCGGGTCCGCCCGGGATCGGGGCGGGGGCGGCGGCGTTGGGGCGGCGGCGTCGGGCCGTGGGGTCTGCGGCGTCCCCCTCTCTGCGCCTTCACCGGCGCTCAGCCAGTTCCGAGACGGTTGGGGGTGGGGCCCGTGCCCGGGGCGACCTGGGGGGGGCCCGGGCAGGGCGGCTTGATGTGTTTTTTCGGCCTAGAGCCCATGTGGCTGACTGCTAGAGTTCTGGTGGGTTTGCGAGGAGTGAGGTCCGGGTGCTGGTCTCTTCTGCCAAGTTCGGGAGAGACGAGCGGGCGCGAAGTGGGGACGGGAGAGCCATGTTTCTAGACGTCCCGGCCGTTCTTAAGTTTGTTGATTAGCAACCTGCCTTGTTTGCGTCTCGTTTGAAAAGTCGGTTTGTCTGTTTCACTTAGAAGAATTTGTATCTTAGTTTATTTAAAGCTTTAGCCAACCAAGGATATACGTTGACAAGCGAAGTGTAAAGTGCCCCTCTCTAGCTCAGAAGTAAAGTTCTGGCGATAGCTGCCGTAAGGTCGGCTGGTAGTCAGGTGTGTAAACTTAAATACTAACTTTTCAACATAAACTTTTGGAAATATAAGAAGTATTTTGCCACCATCCGGCGAAGGTTGCTTATGAAGCCGAAGGCGGCAGCACGTTTGGGGAGAGAAGGCTGAGTAGTTGTTGTTATACTTTTTCTGTATTTTTGTTGGAATTGTGGATTTGTAGTAGGATTGTATGAGGCCGGGCGCGATGGCTCAACGCCTGTAATCCTAGCACTCTTGGAGGCGAAGGCAGGTAGATTGTCTGAACTCAGGAGTTGGACTCCACTACTCTAAGAAAAGAAAACATACTTTCAACTTTAAAAAAAAAAAGAAAAGAAAGAAAAAAGGAAAACCATCCGGGCCTTGTGGTCAGGTGCCTGTAGTCTTAGCTATTGGGGAGATAGAGGCAAGAGAATTCCTTGAGCCTAGGAGTTTTAGGGTGCTGTGAACTCTAATCCCGCTATTGCACTCTCTCCGGGACTACAGAGTAAGACTCTCAAAACATCAAAAAAGATTTTACAACAAGAATTCGCCTACTAATTGATTTAGTAGAAAAGTTAGTGATTATAAAATTAACACCTTTTTTTTTTTTGACTGGGGCCACCTCCCGTATATGGGGCTAGCGCCCTACTCCTTTGAGCCACAGGCGCCGCCCAGCACACCTTTTAGAAAAGTATTTATTTATTTTTTAGAGACAGGGTTTCACTTTATTGTCCTAAGTAAAGGGCCGTGGAGTCACAGCTCACAACAAGCTCCAACTCTTGGGCTTAAGTGATTCTCTTGCCTCAGCCTCCTGACTAGCTGGGACTACAGGCGCCCGGCTATTGGCCGGCACGGGTTCAAACACACCACCTTCGGTGTATGGCGCTTTACCCACTGAGCCAAAGGCGCCACCCAAAGTTAACACAACTTTTTTTCTTTTTTTTTTTT